CTTATGCACCTGTCTTAATGGTGCCGGCTGACTTAGAAGCTGTAATTATGTTTTCGCTCGCTTCCTGCTTTGCTTGGGTTTATTATTCACTACTTTGGTCAGCTCCAATGGGCGATTGTATCTGAACAAAAGAGACTAATTCTTTACCTGGGAAATTTTGTTGATAAAATTGATACCCAAGGAAATGTTGATAATAGTAAGTTTATTGCTGTGTCGTTGTTTGTTATAGTCATCACAAACTAGAACAGGCTCTTCTTTAAGAATACCGCTTCTTCCGCTAATATTAGTACTGCTAATATTTATGAAACTCCAAATAACTTTGCCTAGTTTTAGGTGCTCGTAGACCGTGTGTGACTACTATGAAATTAATAAACTTTAAATTTTACTTTACCAATAATTAAAATTACGTTATTAATTCTTATGTTGCAAACATAATCTATCGTTATTTTTCATTCACAACAATTCCATTTCATAGCAATAAGATCACTGGCGTAAATATGGTAAATCTTCTCGGATACCAAAGCTACTAAAACTTCTCAGATATTGATATCCCAATTGGAACGGTCAAGCTGGTAATCCCGCCTGATCTCAACAACAATCTGGACTAAACTGAACTAAAAACTTAACAGTTAGCTATTTCAACTAAAGCGTAATCTGCTCAGCACTGCAGTATTGCTGCTGACGGGTCCGTGAGTACTAGTAAGACATGATATGAAACTGGACCAACTCCATGACTTTTATCAAGGTCTGCGGATAAGGAAGAAACTGTACTCTACCTCTTGTGTCAGTGTGTATCAGTGTCCATCATTTTCTAGGAGAAGACTTATCGGCTTGACAGAGTTGTTATACTGCAAAATTAGGGACATGGTAGACTAAGTTTATATACATGTCAGGCTGGTTCAATTTCATTTAAATGGACATTCAGATTTGTTGTGAGTCGAAAGGCTCAGGCTATGAAGAACGTTCTCGGTTTATATTCCATCATAAGGCATGCCTAAATGTAGGCAGCGTCGTTTGCGGCTTCCATAGTAGCAGTAACCAGCTCGTCAGCTTGACGGTAAGATTTTCAGTTTTCTGTTAATTGTGTCAAACTGAAAGCGACATTGAAAATTAATGCAATTTCAATTATTGACGTTTTAGCGAATTACGCAAAAATTATTGATTAATAAATAAAGTGAGATAATTCGGGTACCTAGAAATAACGGCATCTATCGTTGGTAAGACATTTTTGTTTAAAAGACAGTAAACAGTAGTCTAAGAGGCAGTTGTGTTTTGTGAGTGAGTTTCAGTTCTGTAGAGCGTTGTGCTTAGTCAGTTAAGCTAGATAATAAGAGTTAAAGTGAACACAAAAAAAGGAAGAGTTCAAAACTAGAGAATAGTAAAACTAATTAAAACAAGCTGGTATCAATATTAAAAGTAATCATTGATAAAAGTCAGTAATGATATAAAATCATATTGAAGTTAAATAAAAATTGAATTGTAAAACTATTGTCATACAAATAATTAATGATCAAACCTAAGTTATATTAAAGACTGGTGAGAAACAGACAAACTAGTATCATTATTAAACGTGTTAATAAAAATTAAATTAAGCTGAAAAATTAAATAAAAACTTAAGCTTTGGTTTTATTTAACTGTGAGAACAGGATTATATATGGAAAGTAGTAATGTCTGTTACAAGCAGTAGCAGCAACAACAAAGACATTGTATTTAAAATTAAAAGTGAGTATTCATTGTTGGGTGGACTATTATTTGGCGCAGTTGAGACCCCAACTTATACACAACATTATTGAGACCCCAACATATACGCAACAGATAAGTGCATAAAAACTACGCTTATCTATGGTTGTGACCCGTTGTGAGGGTCATTATTTCAGCTCGAGTGCGTTATGGCCCCACGGCCACCACTTCAATTTTAGCTAACCTAACAAAACATGCAGTATTCTAAAGAGATGCAATTTAATTGGGTCATCTAGTATTAGAGAAAGTCAAATGTAGTACTTTGAATCTAGTAGTCGCTATATTCACTACAATGTCTTATTTACTTTTGAAAATGTTATAACTATAGATATTGAAGTTAAATAGTTAGTCCTTACAGAACTTTCTATTGCATCTATGATTCGCTTTTAAACTTGTCATTTTTATTGACGAAATTGTTACAATTTAATTTAATCATTTATATTTTTTCCACATTATCAAAAATTGAATAGATTTGTGACATATTTTGTGACATGGCCCTGGGTTTCTAAATATTTAAACTTTCAATAAAAGTTAAAGCAAGTTTTCAGCCCTTGTTTCTTTTTTCTATTATTATTTTTCTGTGATGTTCCTTAAATATGTCACATGTGAGTTCGTAAACGCATTGATATAACCCTGAAGTTATTTACATGTGTTCTATTAAACACACGCACACTTACACGCCAAAGTACACAATTACACAAACAAATAACGCAATCTCATTACCTGCCTTGTATCAAAAAAAAAAAAAACAAAAAAAAAAAGAAAAAATATGAAGAAAAATTTAAATTCTTAAAAATTCTCTAGCACACGTCTTCCTTATCTGCCTCGCTACCTCGCCGTAAATAACATTCAAAATCCGATGGAAACGCAAAAGCAAAATAAAAATAAAAATAAAAATAAAAAAGAAACTAAATAAAAAGAAAATAAAATATTTAAAGCGTAAGAAATTCATTCAAGAGCGAAGAAATTGTGACACAATGCGAACGGAGAAAAGGAATGAAAAGAAGAAAAATGCAAGTCAAAATACTCGAAAGCAAGAACGGAGGGGCGACAGTGAACCGTAAAGCAACGCCGTGTTCGCACTCATGCTCCTGCTTTAGTATTGTGTTTGCTTACGGACTCGAATAACTCACTTCGTGTAAGCGGTGGCTAAGGTTAACCCGCAGTCTGGAAAGGAAGTGCAAGACATAATCCAGCTTTTAAAGGTGCGCGAAGCGACAAGCTTAAACTACTGAAACAGAGTAGCACTTGTGCATGCACAATAGAAAGTCTGTTAATCTATCCTGTTACAGTTCATTGATTGAGGTGTGATACGATATGAGATGAGATATAAATTGAGTTTCACTTCACTCCAAGGAATTTAAAATAAAAATTGTGTTCTGAATGTTTTAAAGGATTTAATATGAATCGTTTTTGAGATTTTGCATAAAGCGAATTTTTATATTTGTAGTTTTTTATTCATTAAATACATTGAAGGAATACTACTAAAAGATACTGACAACAGCACATTCACAACTAGATACACAACTGTCTCTTCTTCTTCTGTCCTGCGATTGTCAGAAACGGATGACACACTATTGGGTTTATTATTGGGTTTATTTTTAAATTTTCACTAGAGATAGCATGATAGATTCTGAAGGTCACAGTGTGCCTTTGTACCTTAGAACTAAAAATAGTAAAAATAATGCTTTTACTTTATACAAATGGGTGGCTATTGTCATACGTCTATTTATACCACAAGATGTAATTACATAAGACATTAACTCATTGTATGATTGTTGCGTAGGGAAACCCTTAGCAAACATTATGAAATCAAGATACTTGTTGACAGATCGTTTAAAAATACGGTGACATAACATATTGCAATGCTATCAATTTGCAAGAAAAATATTAGTTCTAAGACCTATTTGTACCACATATTTAAAAAAAAATTCATGTCAACACTCAACTATATGTTTACTCAATTACCACATGTCGGTAAAAACCAATTGTTGTCATTTTTTTTTAAAGAAAAAGTTCTTAAAGATATAAGTAGCTGACTTACATAATATATATATTATATATATCAGGGTTATCCAGACTAGACGCGATCGCGGGCCAATATAAATTACTGTGCATATTGGATGGCCGCAGAAACAAATACATACGTTTATGGTTGTTATTATACATACATATGTTACATTATAATACGGATATAATATTAAATTTTAGTTTTATTAATTCATCAATTTAAACTCAATTTAAAAATAATGTAGTTCTACCAGTAGACCAAATGAAAATTTGCGAAATTGCAATAAATTAAAAACATGTCGCGAACCGCACAAACGTAAACCGCAGGTCGCATGTGGTCCGCGGGCCGTACTTTGGGGAGCCCTGATATATATATATCAGGTATATAATACATGTAAAGAAGAACTGCTCAAGCTTTGTACAGCTTTTTAGAGGGAATTTATCAAGTGAGGATATGTACATGAAAGCCCTCTGTTGTTTTTATGTTTTTTCAATCCCACATAAAGTGTCGATGTCAGTTGTGAAAATGGGAAAAATATTAGTACGCAAATATTGAGTTACGCTTTTTATCGACGTATAATATATGAGCAAAAACTTTTTAGTGTATAGAAATAGTGCTTTTTAAAAATAGCAAACGGATTGTATATTTGTCTCGGATAACTGCATAATATTTTGGGAGGGGAGGGGATATGAGCGTGGAAGGTAATGTGTCTGATTGCCTTTGGTAACTGCCAGCATGATCCTTGTTAATGTTCTTTCTAAATTCGTATACAGCGTTCACGTGGCCCCGTTCATTTAGATAAAATCATTCGTGCGTAGTGATATATGATACCTTCCATTTTATAAAACATCGTTCGAATAAAAAGGAATAGGAAATATTTGGCTACTACACGCAGTTATCTCTAGTAGAGGTGGATGATAAGTAGCGCGACAATACGGATTTAATTTAAAACTATGTTTATTGGATTGATATTTCTCATATCAGTTTCATGTTTTATGTCATTAAGGGATTATGAGAATAAAATTACCTCATCGAAAGTCAAATAGACTGTTAATAGTGATAGAGAAAAATTAATTTTTTGTGCTTCTTTTCTTTGAAAATCTTTTTATAATTTTTTTTTTTGCTATATATTGCTATTTATATTAAATATATATTTCAAAATATGAAATTTGGCACTGCCGCGTCCATTGCTTGCATAGTTTCTTCGAAGTCAAAAGTTAAGTTGACTTTATTTTTGCAATTTACTTACCCTTTTCTGGTATTATGTTAACCGATGTATCATCTCGTATATCCTCCAGTAGCTCCTCGTGATTTTGCATTTCTTCATTAGGTAAGGTTGGATTAAATTGAGTCGTTGTTGCCCAACAAGGTTACATGTCAAGTGCCAACCGAGTGCAAGTGCCCGTGTTGGTACCAGCAAGAGTGGAGTGGAGTGGAGTGTGAGGCGTCCATCAATGTTCATTTCAGGTGCCATTTTATGTTCAAGTTTTTTTATGATTCAATTATTTTTTAACGTATTAGGTTGGGAACGCACAAATGTCGCCAAAGTATTCCCGTTGTCCGTAGAGTTGTGTGATATGAAATTAGAGAAAGAAAAGGAAAAAGATACTTAATATTATGGCAAGATGAAATATTGAACAAAACTTAAACACTGAAATAGAGCAGAGATTAAATTTTTTTGTGCCATTAAGCAATGTCTAAAGGTAAAATAATCGTCTACAATTTATGAGCGTTTACTAAGTATTTCTATTACATTATTTTATTTTATTTTATTTTACTTTATTTTATTTATTTTTTTTTTCTCTCCAAATATTCTACTAGACTTTCTGCTATTTATTCCAATTCATTTTCTATTATTTTAAGTTCCTTTTATTATTATTTGCAGCGATTTAATAAATTACAAGCTCCTTTATTCTTCTTCTATGGACAAAGTAGCTTAAAACTGGAAAGAGCATAAGGCAAATGAAAATATTAAAAATAAAAAAAATATGTAGAAAAATATTCAATTTTCAGCTTAAAATATCATATTTTCATTTCTTTAGATTTTTTTTAATTTATATTCAATTGAGCGGAAAATGTTATTGCAGCTACTCAACGAAATCCTGCAAAATGCTGCTTTAGTCAACGAAAAATAGCCAATTCCAAGGACGGAGAATGAAAGCTGCTGAAGAAGATTTAATAAGCTAAAAATATATAAATAAATTAATTTTTTTGGATCATTTTTGGTAGTTATCTCTCTGGATTTTTGACATTTCGTCGATAATTTTGACGATATTAAATTGCATTATAAAATATTCAAAATGTATTTCAATTTGGAAAAGCGAAAATATATTTTAGTTTAATTGGAAATACCTCATAGAAATAGTTTTCTGTAAAATTTCACTTTTAATAGATTCAATCCCTAAATTCTTCAACAGAAAACCTCTAAAGACCATAGTCAGTATAGCAGTTACTGGTATATATATATAGATCTGGGTCAGATTAGGTGTTTACAATCGGTACAGGATATTATTTTAATTACAATATTACCCTTAACTGCAGAGTGGGGCGACATCCATTATGGTCACTAAAAAATTACTTAAAATTGAATTCTATTCGTCTCTATATCTGAAAAAAATATTTAATTGTGTACTCCGACATTAATTTCTTTTATAAATGTATTTTATTAAAGGATTTAATACTTCTGAGTACTTCCATTAAATACTTTTTTTTTGTCTTTGGAATATGCTCAGGGCAGACTGGTACAATAGGTCTCTTCTGGCCGCAGTACCGGCTGTTGGGCAATTTTCACGAATACCTTTTATTATTATTATGCTCAGGGCAGTACGCTACTACGCTCAATGCTTATCGATCATGTATAATATGGGTATAAAGACAATGTGACTAACGTTTGATTGCTTGAAAAACTCAGAAAAAGATATAGTTAGTAAAATCTCAACGACTCTGAACAGAAAAGAAAATATTAGGACCTAATAATATTTGCAAGAGCAGGAATATTTAATTCATTCTTTTGAATAAAAAACAAATTCAGGTCACTAAAGATAGGGAAAGATCAAGACAACTAGGAGATTAAGTATTTCGCAGAAACATACTTCACTGAACTTAGACAAATACACACGTTTGGATAAGAAATAAATTTCGCATGAGCCGAAAAAGAGAATAAAAAAAACCTTGAGAATATGTACTGATAAGGTTTACTCTATTTAAAGCCAACTCTCTAGATAAGATCATTCGAAGAGAAAGCTTAAATGAAATAGATAAATTAGCGAAATAAAGAAAGACTATATGTTATATACCAAAGAAAACTTTTTGTAATAATTTAGCAAAGCAGCACAACGAATTGAATAGGAGCAATGTAATGGCAACTAACACAAGACAATCTTTAGTTAAATATATGGCATCAAAAGAGAATAAAACATTAGGGTGTCCCAGGGTGTAAGGGCGAAATTTTTTTTTTCGATTTCAAATACGCATACCTCTTATTTTTTTCTATTTGATACTAGTAACTAAAATAATAAATATTATTGGTATCGGATAATGATAACCCGTGCCGACTTGATCCCAAACTTTTAACAGAAAGTTTGTATAGAAACTATAGAAGACATTTTAAACCTTCATGTTTATTCAGTAAATAAAACACTATTTTACCTGTATCTTATATTTATTAAGTATTTATTATTAAAATGATGATAATTATTTAATTTTCTTTTTTGGGTTTGCTTGTTGCAGTCAGGATAAACATATCTGTGTTATTGTACGCAGCGTAGTAAAAATTCCTTTTGTTCGTCTTCAATAGTGATTTTGCCATGAAAGTCCTGCATTAACTTAACCGCTCTTTCTGCTGTATCACTAACTGCTCTCAGTGTCAGCACCTTGTTTTTAGCATGTTGAAATGAAGCATTACTAGACCATGAAGTAGGACATTCGTTAAGAAAACTGTCATCAATTTTGAGTCCATTAAACAAAGCCATGCTTTTGAATGAAACAAAGTCATCGATGTTTTTCTCGTAAGGCGAACCACAAAGTTTATCTTTTGAAGGAATATATCGTTTACTGTGGACTGATGGGTTTTCTTTGGCTAAGTTATTAACTATTTTTGCCTTTCTTTCATAGTCAACATCATCGTCAAATAGGGACAAGACAGCCACTTCATCAATTGATAAATACCATAAAAGCTGACAGAACTTTTGTAAAACTGTTTTTGAGATAATTTTGTCAATTGTTTCATAAGCCTTCATGGTCTTCAGAAAACACAAATCCTGGTAAGGTGCTTTTACCGCTGAAATGCATTGCAGCCAAGGTTTGACGAAGAATGTCACGATGAACAGGCAGACGTCTAACAGAGCCGCTTTATCCTTATTAGGCACTCTCAATTGAGAGCTAAGTAATGAAATTTTTAATAAATAAATTGCCCTCGCCATCCATCGCACTTGGTGCATGGCACCTGGAGGTCGAATCTTAAATTTCTTTTCTGTATCTCCACCAAGGAATATTATTGAAAGCTCTATTAATTCTCTATAGTCATTTCTAACAATTTTCTTAGTCAATTCAGTTCGGAAAAATTCCAGCAGTTTGCCAATTTCTGAAGCATTCAGGTAAGATAACCTTTCTGTAGGATACTGTACTTTCTTATGGTCGATATTTGTCCAGTTTTCTTGTAACCTTTTGAATAATGGAATGTTAGGATTGTTGGTAACTTGACTAATTTTAGCTTCAAATACGCCTTTCAATATCAATTCGAAGATGTGATGGCGGCAGGCAAAAATAGGCATATCTCGATTAAATTTTTGTTCGAGAAGCACACAAGCACCATTAATGCGACCGGTATTTGAACCAGTAGTATCACAACAAAAGATTTGCACTTTATCTTCGAGATTCCAGTCAGTAACCGCATTCCAAACTGCCTGTGCCTGTTCACTTCCTATTCAGTTGTTTAATTTTGGCACCGCAATAAGTTGTTCTTTATCACCATACGAAATAACAATCGGGAGAAGTTCTTCTCCACATTTGCGCACATCTAAAGCCGACAACAGTTTGCCATCCCAATGGACAGTTACAGTGGTACTTCGTTTTGGATATCGACTTTAATAATTTCTGCACGTTGTTTTCGTTTTTCTGTGCGAATTCTTTGAATGGAGGACTTGCTTATAGGAAATTCGTCAGTATTGTATCCAAGTGCCTCAATAGTAGCTTCAATAATAAATACAGAATTTCTCATACTTAACTGACACCTATCTAAAGCTGTCACTAACTTTGGAGTGATAAAATTTTTCCTCATAGAAGTTTTTTTTGTATCGGACTGTGCACTCCGAGTTTGGAACATAAATAATGGATCTTGTAGATCCATTATTTCAGAATCAGAAGATAAATTTTCTTGATAAGATGACGTCGAAGCAGTTAAGGATAAACAATAATTAGCACGACGTTTTTGTTCCTCAATGTTTCTAAGACGCGCTTTTTCCTCTTTTTCGGCCAATTTTTTGTCCACTCCAGCTGAGTGACCAGGTCGACCTGGCTCTCTCTGGCGCTGCAAGAAGATTTTGTCTTCATTTATCTTTATTAATTGAAGCGCGTCAGCATGTGCAATGTCAAACAAATTGTCTAAGTAATAAACTCTTGTCGACGCTGCTCGTACACATCTTGTGTTTTGTTCGCATTTTTCTGCAAATCTCTCCAAACTTGGTATAATGTAATTAGCTTCTTTACACAGTTAGATAAAGCTTTAGTTGGTATACGTGCCTTTTCCCAATAAATAATGCACTCACGAATAGTAAGATTTGCGCCTTCATTGATACTTAAATTCACTTCATGAATGTTGTAGAACAGAACTGTCAATACTTGCCCATTAGAGGTAAGTTCTGAACCAGTGATTTGATGTTTTACATCCCCAATTAAAAATAACCTCTTTTTAAAACTGCGTAATCCCATTGACATATTGACTAAATGAAAATAGTGCGTTCACTACTAAAACAAACAAATAGTACGTAAGAGCTGACATGTATCGGTGTAAGTCGGCATGGATTGCATTATTTTTAAGTAAATAAAATTTTACTTATAACTTATTTGATACCACTTAAACATAATTACAGAGTATGCGTTGGGACACTTTAATGTAGATATGTATATATGTGTATAAAGATTATACGTATTCTGTATACATAAAGGACAGGGCCCTGAAGCTATATGCGAAAACCGACAGGGTGCCCTCCTTAACACTATCTAATCAATCTAGTAATCACTAACCGAACGGGGCAGTACGCAGATCTTAAATCAGTCATTGAATAATCACGAAGCTTATGAGGAATACACAAATGAGTCA